TATTACTATTGACAACTGAGGATACAGATTTTTGTCATGCAAAAGTTGGGTGTCTCCTTTCTGTGTTATTAATGTATATTAATGAACAGTCTGTGATCAACCACCACTTTTGATCAGTAACTGAGTTCTGATTGCCTTCAGAATTTATATATCACATTGATTCTGAATTGGGACTACAGCCATGGCAACTGCATTTTGCTTCAAGAAGATTCATTTTGTGAGATAATGTTATTTGGTGCTTTCAAAAAATATATATGGCCCCTGCATCATTGATGATTCATGCGGCCAAAATGGATAGTTTATGAAAAGTTCTGATTTTTGACAGGAAGGTTGCCTTCCCAGGAATAGGTACAAATCCTCAATTTGGTCCTATTGTGGAGTTCCAGGTGAAATGGAGGCTGCAGGGTATTGTAATTGGACCTTGTTGAAGTGGCACTCATAGGCATGTAAGCAGGCAAGCAATGGTGACATCTCATGACCCTGCCATCTAAAAAAGTGGGACAGCATCATCGCCAAGATTAAGGCCCTGAATGGCCTTAGAGGAGGATTTGGCAAGTGTCTTAAGTGCGGTGGCTGAAGATATATAGTCTAGTAGGAAATGCCACCCAGAATAAGATGAAAAGTAAGGGGGTAGGTGTGGAGATCCCAATTGTTTAAACGGAACTCAACATATGTAAAAAAGGGTTTTAGAAACTTTTAGAATGTTTAAAGGATTGGGCACTTTTTGCAACATCCAAGAATTGCAAAAACTTTATGAGAAGCATGACATTTATTTGTTGAATAAAGGAGATCTGCATATATTTAGACATTTGCCATTCTGTAACTGTTGAATAAACCAAGTTAGCACTAAAAGCTCTTTTATGGTGTATGAGGGTTCTTGGGATCTGTAATCTAAGATTATAGATAATAGGGCAGAGAGACGCTCTTTGGTCTTGAATATCTCATCTATTTAAATTAGGCAATTTAACAGGTAACAATATAGGAGAGCACCCCTCAAGTCAAGAAGGGATGGCCAAAGTGTAGGAACATATTTAACACTGCCTTGATTCATCCTTAGGCTAATTGTAGAACAAAAATTGGGCAGGGGGCAGGACTGGAAGACCTCCAAGGTCCCTGCCAAATCCATTATTCTGTATTCACACCAGCACAGATCTCAGTAGCAGTTCTCCTTGCATTAATGCAAGTAAGTGCAGTTTCTATATTGGTTGGAATTTACTTTCATTTTAAGTTTTATAAGACAAAGGGAGGAGTGGGTGATTTTAATTTAAATGTATTGTTAACTTTACAGTTGGTAAGTATAAGTAGTCTTTGACTTATGACCACAGCTGAGCCCAAAATTCCTGTTGTTAAGCAAGACATTTGTTAAGTGAATTTTGTCCCATTTTATGACCTTTCTTGCCACAGTTGTTAAGTGAACCACTGCAGTTGTTACGTTAGTAACACTACTGTTAAGTGAATCTGGCTTCCCCATTGATTTTGCTTGCTAGAATGTCACAAAAGGTAATCACATGACCCCAGGACATTGCAACCATAATAAATATGAATCAGTTGTCAAGAGTCTGAATTTTGATCATAAGACCATGGGGATGCTGCAATGGACCGAAGAATAGAATAGAATAGAATTTTTTATTGGCCAAGTGTGATTGGACACACAAAGAATTTGTCTTGGTGCATATGCTCTCAGTGTACCTAAAAGAAAAGATACGTTCATCAAGAATCATAAGGTACAACACTTAAGCATCAAAAATAGCCATAAGTCACTTTTTTTTGGTGCTGTTGTAACTTCAAACAGTCACTAAATGAACTGTTGTAAATTGAGGACTACCTGTACTTGAAAGGTATATTCCAACAGAGGTAATCTGGAAAATTATAGTGAAGCACAAAAATTTTGCATAAGAACCTTCAGTGTTATAGATTCAGATTTCACAATGTTTATATTGCGTTAGAATTTCCAGGACCTATAGGGTAAGTCCCTATTCAGAAAGTGTTAGAGGGGTAAGAGTAAGAAAATGTTATGCCCAAAACTCATGACTGGTTAGGTAATAAGTGGCAGACCCCTTTGTCAGATTTTTGCTGCTTTCCTCATGTGTGAGGGCATAATTGATATTAGGCTCATTGATATTAGCAGATTGTTTCTGCTGGCTCCATTTAAAAACAAATGGCACTTCATTGATTTTGTACACATTGCCTGCATCGTGGAAGCCTTTCAAATAAAACAGCAGCCTGGCATAGCAGTATCCTCCAAGCCTGGCATCAGAGCTTTCCCCCAAGCAGTTTTGTACTCTTGCCAAGTTTTGTGGATTGTGCAAATTGCAAAGCCCAGCAAAATAAATATGTTTTCCACTGAGTTTTATCTAGAACAGATGATACCAATTGGAAGCTTAAAAAGAAACATACTTTGAATTTATGGAAGTTCATCTTCCTATCTAATCCCCAAACAACTAGGAGACGTTTAGGGAAAATCAAAGAGTCTTCACTGCTTGTGAAAACCTTTGCTTACTGAAGTCAGTGTGCATAAGTAAACTCAAGTCAACATAGAGCAACCTCATTTAACTTGGCACTTCCTTCAGCTCAATGTCCCACCCCTAAGCCTGTCCTGCTTCAACATTTACCAGCAGTAAAGAAGCAAGGCTTACTGGAAATACCAAACAGTTTGTGGCACCTACTAGATTTCCACAAGTGAGGAAGGACACTTTAAAATGAAAAAGATCTCCTTATAGCAGGAAAAATGCACAAAAGCTATCCACCAAGATACCATGGATAATTTGTATAAGGCTGATTTTTTAAAAATTATATTACAGGAGAACAAGAAAGGGAAAATGAACCACATTTTCTTTAAAATAGTTGATCTCTATTAATTTCCAAAACCAGATGGACCACGCTGTTAGAAAAAAAAAAAAAAAGCTCAATTTGATATGAACATTTCAAAGATACTAACGTTTCAGTATTGACATTTTAGGTAAAATTATTAGTTTTAATAAATTATGCTTTTTCCTCCTCCAAACTAAACAGAGAAATTGAAAATTCACAAATATGTGAAATACTCAAGTAAATGTTACTCACACAACCTTCCTTCCAAATGAAGATTATCTCCCTGTGAATAGGGTGAAACCTCCAGTCAAATCAAAAGCACTTTTATAATCCAGTGAATGTGCAAACTGGGCCAGTGAGGTAGAAATGTTAGTCAGGAAAAGCTAACAGAATTCAAAGCAGAACTATTTGAAAATATGTCCTTCAGTGAGATTTAGTTCCTCATAAGAAAAAAAAATCTGAATCTATGAACATGGAAGAGAAGGAAAAGAAGCATACAGGAAGGAAAGATCCATAAAACAACAAAGTAATATCTAATATGGTTAGATTTTAAAAATAAATGTATTGTTTATTTTAATTCAAATATTTTTAAAAAGTAGCAGTTCTCTTCGTTTATTGGCAATGGAACTTTAATAGCACTGACTAAATCTTGATATTTTTATTGCTGTAGAAAATGTCTTTCTCTTTGTGAAGATTAATGGTGGATTTGTTTCATGAAAACAATAAACTTCTGTATATTGCAATTATTATTTTTTAAATCAATTAATTCTTGCATTTGTGAAGAGACGTGGTATATTCTGCAGCTATTTATTTTTCTTTCGTGAACTGCATAAATAAACATGAAATACATGCTCCAATGCTACTTTGCTCAATGCATTATAAGGGACTGTTTAGGAATGACTAGAAGACTGAAGTTTTTGCTAGACTGCTTTTTTTTTATATAAGCAACTGACAATTATAGTCAGGTATGTGTGCGTGTATTACATATTTTTGTACATATTTATAATTGTACATATAGAGGAAGGAATGATTTTATTGTATTTTCCAAATATGCTCATAGTGTATTAATGTATTAATGTGTGTTAATGTATTAATACTGTTGCCTTATTCTTTAGGTCAGGAGTATTAGTCATAGAAAATGTAAGAAATAATATACAGACTTTGTTATGTAGAATCATGCTTAGATTTGCACCATACAGTTCAAATTACTGTAATAGAAACATTAAGAGATGAGATATATGAGAATTGACCTGCTTCATTTTGACTGGGACAAGCTTCAGCTTACAAATACTTTATAGTACTATCTGGAAGGCAAGAGCCATAGAACACAACACAATCTTTGCTCAGGCAGCAATGTTTTTTTATATCGGCACCTTCCTTTTTATGTTCCTGTTTCCAAAGTCGTAGAGACTACTTTCACATGTGCAGGACACTTCATTTCAGTGCCATCAATCAGTGTCAATTATCTTGCAGCCTAAATGACACTTCAATCTAATACCCTAAAAGGGACCACACGCAGCTAGTGACTATTGCATAATAATTGTAAGGAAAATAAAAGGTGTAGCTGTTTTTTGAGAGAGAGAGAGAGAGAAGTAGTTCTGTGCAAGGGATAAGAAAATATTTAGGTAGGATGGAATTTCTTTTCCCAGTCAGAAAGCACCTCCAATTATTTAACTTCTGATAACTGAATAGTAACAGCACTTTCAACAGAAGGAAATTCTTTCTGGTGAGGATAACAATAATTGACAAGAAATCACAGAGGGTTTGTTTGCTGAAAGCAAGACTCTGTTTCAATGAAGTTAAAAGTATGGAACATTTTCAAAAGACACTTTAAAAAAAAAAAGACCTTCACCTGCCATGTTTTACTCGGTATTTGTTAACTGATTATCTGATTGGCTTCCAATGAATAATACTTTGTGTAGACCAATGCAGTATTTCTTTTAGAATGTTGCTGAATGATACTTTATGCATACATAATAGCCACATCTTGGAAGTAGTTGACAAAGACTGACCACGCACATTCTAAGAAAGGTATAGCTCAGCTAGAAATTCAGAACCACCAAAATGAATGATAAGCATAGGAACTACAGGGGACATGAATGTACAGTAGAACATAATGTGCATGAAGTCTTTTTAACCCCTCTTGCCACTGCCCAAGAAAGCTGTGCCTCCCTTTCATCTTCGCTTACCTTCTCTGGAGAGATGTTTGAAAGCCACAGTGGAAGCCAGTTCTGTACCATGAACAGCTACTCCAGGCCCGTGGTGATGAGCCAAGGGGTTACCTTGGGTCTGCCAGTGGTGATGAGATGGACTTAAGTAGCTTCCTCCTGGCCCTCCATAAACGCCAGGTTGGTTTGATGATGGATAGGCACAAGGGGACAGGAAAGGACTCACAGCCGAGAGCCCTGGAGGGGGCTGCAAAGAAAAAAAAATGCATGTGGAAAAATGGGGAGCTTTAGGAAGAGAGGTCATACTCCAGCATGGATTTGCCATTCCTGCTCTGATTCTAATTACATGAATGGGGAACTAAATTAAATTATCTTTTCAAGTTCACTTCACTTCCAAATAAGGATCTAGAGAATGAAATTAAATTGAAGAGGAATGCGAAAAACCTGCACAGCAAAACATGCACTAGTAATTCTTGATCTCAGTTCATGCAGTTCATGATCTCAGTTTGAATAATCACGGAAGCTGGTGCAAGGAAATATATAGATTATTATCCCAAAAAAGGGTAAATTTTATGAAATTATAAAGCTAAATATATCAATAACCAGAAGCTGCTCTAGGGTTGTGCCTGTGTCATTTCCTCCTCTGGCTTACAAAGCAGAAGCCTCAGTTGTTGCCAGACTAATTTACTAATTTTTTAAATCTGATATTAGGAGTAATCATTGCTATAATCACATTAAGTACATATAATTTCAATTCAAAGTAGGTGAAATTAGTCTTTGTTGGGGCCATCACCCATTGCTTTTAAAAGCAGCCAGCAGCCCTTGAGGGACAACGCTGTGCGTATTCTTGGTGCAAGGACAGAAATCAAGTAGGGCTCCATTCCCTCCACTTCGGCCGGGTGCCATCAGCCTGCCAGTCCCTAATATGAGTTCGCTTTAAAGGGAGAACTAGATTAGAATAATCTTGTGGGAGGTTTTTTTTTTTTATTGCAATTTGTTTTGTTTTCCGGGATCTTGGCTCAATACCTGTTTACTGCTATTTCAGAAACATAGTTTTCGTTATATGATACAGATTTTACAGGATAATCCCTGCTTTGCTTCTCCTTTTTCCTTTCCCCCACGCCCCACCCCACTTCCTGGCCACAGACACAGCCCTGTGCAGCCCTTCCTGCTATTGTATTCCCAAAGGGCTGGACTGTTACCTGGGGGTATTTAATGTCTGCTTCTGATGCCGATTTGTCAAGTGCATTGACACCGTGCCCAGCAGGAGGGAAGGTGGTTCTATTCACACTTGGCCAGTCTTCGAGTTTGGGAGGGTAGGCAGAACCATCTGTCCCAGCTAGAACACCTAGGATGGGAGAGATTGGGGGATATATTAGCAGCCAGAAAAGTGATGGCCTGTCCCAAGACCCATTGGCTCCCTTATCCACACTTACTTCCTGGGTGATAACTCACCTTTTCAGAGATCTCTGTTAAGCTCTATGAAGTCTCTAGAGGTCAATAAAAATAACCCATTAGGCTCCAGAGACATTGCCTGGGCCTCACATCAAATCAGAGTGATGTGGGCTTTTTAAGGATGCAGGTAAAGAAGAATCTCATGCCAAATTGCAGAGGAAAAGATAACATCAAACATTTGCTTTATTAGAGAACTGGAAAGAGATTCAATGGTGATCTCTTCCTTGCACCCCACTCCACCCCCAGAGTTTGCTTCCCTTCTCAATTTTCCCTGAAGCTAAAGGGTTTAATGTTCCCTAAGGCTAAAGGATTTGTATAAAATGGATTTTTATTTTGCCCACACTGCAATGCCCTAGCCTTGTATAAAAAGCTAGCAATAAATTCAATACAGATTTATTTATGAAAAACTTAATTCCCAGCATCACTGCTGATTCTGTTTGGGTGGGAAGCATTTCAACAAAACATATCAGTGGATGGAAAGGAAACTGAGTTTACAGAAGACATTTAGGGTCACAAATGTCTTATGACTAACCTACATATTGAATTGGATCTGCACAGTAGGTAAAACTCAAGGTTGGAAATGAGAGAGGAGACAGTTAAAACTGCAAACAGCTTTGGCCAGCATTTCATTTAAAACATACTTATCCACCTCTGTGCCTATTTCATTACATGAACCAGGTTTTTTGGCTCTCATAACATTTAGGAGACTCTCAAGAGAGTGTTATTATAAATGGAAACAGGATTATAGTGAATTAGATACAAAGAGCAGATATGTCCAAGTGCTTTTGGAGTGAAAGTGGGACAGTCTGTGTTTGGCATCTTTTTAATAGAGTTTTGGCATAGTTAGAATTAATTTACAGGAGAAGCTGGTACTGTCTGATCTTTCTTTCTTTCTTTCTTTCTTTCTTTCTTTCTTTCCTTTCTTTCTTTCTTTTAGCAAACTAAGCCTAAGCTATGTGAATAGGTCCATTATATTGATTTTCTTTGATTGTTCTGGTTGAGGATGTTGGAACTAATTGCAACACATCCAGATACCACTGGAAATACCAGAATCAAAGAGCTGATGGTATAATCTCTAGTATCTTTATTTATCGATCAGCCCTTGGGTCATGAATAAGCATACCTGAAAATCTGTAATCTAAAACGTGGATGGCACTTTTGAAAACATTACACAATTATCTATTCAAAGATGGGTTATTGAGTTATATAAAAGAACTTTCAAGTGCCTCTCACTGGTTTCATTTTGAAGCCGCAAAGTAGAACATTCTCTTCAGAAACTCAACAATTAAATTAAATTAAATTAAATGGCAACTTAAGGTTTCCTAGTAACAAAACAATGTAGATAACTACAGTCTAAAAATAGAAGACTCCCTAACACTAGCAGCCTCCTCTTTCTAAGAAAGAGTTTGTGAATACTTGGGATCTCAGCGATTGTAAAATCCACGAGAAGACAGAAATATGGAATGTAAAACAACTGAAAGACAAGTAATAGTATAAGAAGTGGAAAAGAAACCCCCTGTCAGATATTTGATCTTTCAGAAAATAATTGTGATATGAATTTGTTTCTGGAGACCACTTTTTCTTTTCTTTCTATTTTTCTAAAGGGAGAGGGGAGTGTAAGGGCTCGGAGTTTGTGGTTGGCAATCTCTCATCGCTACGAAAATATTTTCCACATTTTTTCATAAGAAGTTCAAGATGTCCAGGCCTTTTTTGCAACAGCAGCCAGAGTTCTGTCTGCTGAATTTTGTCCTCCCAGGTTGTTATAGCAGCAGCAAAAGCTCCCAGGAAGCAATGAGACATTAAGCAATGAGCAACTATGAAGATGGGATGTGAGAGCCACTTATTAAGCCCTACTTGGTTTTGAAGCTTGTATAGAGAACGGGGTTCAACAATCTGAAGAGGTCATCTTCCACACCAGGCCTGCATGGCCCAGGGATCATGTCCTCTTATGGGGGAAGCAACACAGACACATAAAGGACTGTCTTTTAGAATGGCCTGGAGAAGCAAGTCATTGCAAGCTGCACAATTCTTAAGGAATAGTCAGAAGTTTGACAAACTAAGTAAAATATGTTCTTGAATTTGGTGTGCATATCAAAGGCATACATAATTTTGTTTAGAGCAGAAATGAATAACAAAACTACTAAGAAATATATAAAATATAATTGTGACTAATGCAGGCTTATTTTAGAATGAATATATTCAAAACTGGTTTGTTAAGACTTCCTGGGAATTCCAAAATGTGAACCGAGATACACTCGAAATGTCTCTAGTTATAAGCCAGATCTTTTCTTCTGCCTGCAGTGGTGATTGATGTCCTATAATAAAACCTATGAACTTAGAATAAAGGCTTCACAGTATGCATGGCCTGTGGACATGCTCTAGGAAAAAATGATATTAATCACAGGTATTTCTCAAATTTCTTGAGTAAATTTCATTTGCCTTCTAAGTGACACTTGGTTTCTATGAGTGATAAATATACAGTCTTGATGGAATTTTCAGGAGTTAAATAATTAGCCACCACATGCCTCATAGTTGGGAATAAACTCATAGTTGGGAATTGTGCACATGCATAAGACAAATAGAAACGCACATTGTTTATAGTAATAAACAGTATTTTCAGAGCCCCAGCACTTAAATATAAAATCAAAGCAAGAAAACCCAATAAGGATATCCCAAATTTGTATAAAATCCGTCCTCTTTCTTAATTGAAAATAAATTCACAAAACAGATCTACCGTAGAACATCGTAGTTTTACCTCCCCTAAATCATAACTCTCTGTCTGCAAATCAGGGACTGCTTTTCTTTCGTATTCTATAAATCGCCAGGAAAACCGAGCCTGATGGAGACAGCGACTCCGTCCTTTCGGCTGCTGGAAGGGGTGCTTCTACCTGGAGCCCCGCATCGCGCCCCATTCCCTGCTTAGGCCCCGGAGGGCCGGCTCAGATCCACTCACCGCTTTGCTCCATGAAGGTGCGGATGCCTAGGATGTTGCTGACCGAGTGCGCGGAAGGCCAGGAGCGGGGGAGGCTGACGTGGGCCGCGCAGACGGGAGCCGCTCCGGCGTGGCCGCCCATCTTAGTGCCGGAGGCTGAGACGGCGCTGGGGTAAGGGTACTGGTAGATGTGGTTGTAGGGCAGGGCCGGCTGCGGGGCAGGTTGTTTGCTGCCGCCGCCGCCGCCACTCGCGTCGTAGGGCGCGCCGGGCTGCGAAAGGCTGCCGATCTTGTTCCTCAGGATCCGGCTAATGGAGCTGACCGAAGGCACGTTGTACTTGTCGCAGACGCCGTCGGCCAGCAAGCGGTCCCGAATCTCCCAGGCGAAGATCCCCGGGTCGCCCTGCTTGTAGTCTCGGATGTGCTTCACCACGTTGGGGGTGGTGACGCGGGGTTTGCTCCCGCCGATGGCGCCGGGCAGGATGGAGCCCGTCTCGTTGTAGCGGGCTAAAATCTTGCTCACGCAGCCGTGAGACACCCGCAGCTGCCGGCTGATGTCGCAGGGTCGGATGCCCAGCTGGGCCAGCTCCACGATCCGCAGGCGGATGGCGTTGGGCAGCGGCCTCCCGTTGACAAAGACGCCGCCGAGTTGGTTCACTTCGCCGTAGGTTTGCTCTGGAAAGAGCCGGAAGAGAGAAGGGGAGCGGGAGCTGACTAAAGGCTTGCGACCCAGGCGAGGGAAGGAGGCAGCGCTGCAGCGGGACGGTGGGCCGAGAGAGATTGGGAGGAGGGCGCCGGGGGCTCTTACTACGCCTAGGTTCAGCGAACGGATCTAGAGACTCGCCTGGGGCTACGGGAATGGACTGAAAGAGCCTTGGAAAATCAGTTATCTGAATTACCATAGACCGATAGATATTAGTTACACCTTATATATACCTTGTGTGTGTGTGTGTGTGTGTGTGTGTGTGTGTGTGTACACATATGTATGTGTATACACACATATATACACACAGACAGATAGATAGATAGATAGATAGAGATAGATAGATAGATAGATAGATAGATAGATAGATAGATAGATAGAGTAACTCATGGAGTATATATCTGTGCTAATATATATAATAAGGAATAACTCATGGTATTCTCTGACTATTCCTTTTAAAGGGCAGGGCAATATAGTTTAAATGCTATATGTGGACGGAAATCTAATAATTGGTTAGAATAAGTCCTATTCCCAAACATGTCTTTCCAAAAGTTTATAAATAAATTTTAATTTGAACGTATCACTTGAATTCTGGCAACCTCTCAACAAAGTTCATTTTACAAGGAATGCCAATTCCTAGGCTTTCCTATATCAACCCCTGCGTTCAGGTACATCTGCTGCCTTCACACCTCTAGGTTCTCCACCACTTTAGCCCCTTCATTGGAGGGCTTTTCTAAGCGGGTGTCAAAATAACAAGTGTAAATATTAACCTCATAGTTTAATATAATGAATCCTCATGAGTTTAAGAAATTTCAAATATGTGATGTTAACCAAAGCCAATGATATTAATGGGTTATGATTCAATGATACGAACCTATGATCACCTGCGGAAAATGATTACATCTGAAATATAGAAATAAATTCCTATCATTGAAAGATAATCAGAAATATATATGATTCCTTAATAGGTTGAAATAAAAGGACAGAGCTCCTTCAAGACAACAAAATTAGAAATATCTGAATAGCCAAATAAACGAGCGATCTTTTAGGGTGCTTTTGACTGCAAATTAAAAAAAAATTGTGGAAAACAATTTACCCACAATATCTAGCACCATATGAACTAAATATATTTAGAATATATTTAATCAGTCTTATACTGTAAGATGGCAAGCATATTATATTCTTATTTTGAAATATGTCTACATCTTAAATAATTCTGAAATGATGTCTTATGCAGTCTTATGCATATATGTCTTATAATGGTCATATGAGTACTATGTACAATCTACAGATTTATATTATTTTTACGAAGTGGCTAAAAGAAAAGGGCCCAACTTAGATGAGTAAACCTAAGACAGCAAATGGAAATGCAATTGCTAACTGAAATATCTAGGTTAGGAAAGGGTTTTCCACCGAATTGGAGTTCCTGGAAGAAGAAGGGAAGTTCTCCGGAGACAACTCTACTCTCTACTTAAAACGGTTTTCTCATCCAACCCATCTCTGTTTAGCCGCCACAAGGTTACTGCCGCCCGCGGGCACTCTATCCCGCATGCCCCCTCCCCCCACTTCTGGAGGCAGGAGCGCCTCCCCACTTCCTACCGCGGCTGAAACTGCGCCTTGCCAGTCGAGAGCAGCCGGCATCCCTTTCTAGCGGCTGGTCCCAGGTCCCTAGAACCGAAGAGGCCGAGGAGGACCCCCCTCCGCCTGCAGCTGCCTCCCTGCCAAGAGCAGCGCGACCGCTTCCTCCTCCCCCTCCTTCCACCCTGCCGCCCGAGCGCCTGCCTGCCCGCGCTTACCCATGGCCGGCGAGAAGTGGCGCCCGCCGATGTCCGTCCGCCCGGCGCATAGAGAGGTGAGCCGCGCTCCTGGGTCAGTTGGGAGTCGAGGCCGGACTACACCCGCGCGTGGAGCTCCACGTCTGCTGCCGGGAGGGAAGCGGCGCAGCCGGTTTCAGTTCGGCTCAACTTGACGCGTCTCCCACGTCAAGCCGGAGGTGCCGCCGATGCAGCCCCGGCCCTTCATTGGCTCCTGCCGGCAGTTCCTGGTCCAGCCGGCCTGCAAGGGAGGCCCCGGGAGGTGCTGCGGGGCAGGGCTTGGCTGGGTTCCGCCCCGGCGGGGCTCGGAGCTCAGCCCCCTCCAGCTGACTCCGGTTCAGAGACCCTGGGCGCCACAGCCAACGTCCCCCCCCCCAACTCCCCGGAACCAAGAGGCTCCTGCGGGGAAGGGGAGGGAAGGAGGGAGGGAGGGAGGGAGGAGTGCCCCCCTTCTAACTCTTTTTCAACGGGGGGGGGGGCTTGAGCAAACTATCGTCCCTTGCGCTTTTCTTCAAGGATAGGAACAGACGTCCATTTGATGGAGCCCCGTCTTTGGCGGCCTTGCAAAGTAGCTAAGGTGATCAGTAGCCACCTGCAGGGCAGAGGAACCTCGACGAAAGCCTGCAGCGCTCCCTTGCACCCGTTGCTGCGTCTCAGCATTCATCGGATGACCATGAGGTCCGAGTGGAGCCCTTTAGGGTGCACCTTCCTATTCATTTCAAAGGGGCTTTGGAACTATCAGGGACAACGGCCTTTCCTGCAAAGGCGCCTCACTAGTTTCTTGGGTTCCCGAGTTTAAGATGCGTTGAAAACACAAAGGAGGACGCTTCGCATTAGTTCACTCCTCCACCCATGGAGGTAAAGGCAAATAGCCCCTCGCCTGATTCTTAGTCTCCACATCCCACCACCCAGCTCCACTTCGGGCATATCTACTCACACCCTGCAGAGATTAGTGTCCATCAAGCTACGGAGAGTCGGAAAAGATACTATCACTCCAGGAGATCTTCCTGCCAGATAATGACCACCGGGTCTTTCTTCACTCCTCCCATCCCCCACCCCCACCCTCCGCTCCGTGCAGGGAAGTTTGACCGACTGCGAGGCTGCAAGTTAAAAATTGCATCCCAGCTCAATTCCTCAGAATAACGGCGGCTTTGATAGGTCTCCAACTTCTTGGCCGTTTTAATCGTTTCTCATCCTCCGAAGCACAATTTAAAAGTCATCTTTCTCCTGGGAAATTAAACTTTCGGACTCTTCAGGAAATGTGGATGGAAGGTTATAACCATCACCGTTACCACCAGCACCCTGGTATTAAACATTTGAAACCTCAAAAAATGCATATTCGTTAAAGTGGAAAGGATTCGGAGCTAACGAGACGCCCTTTCGAGCAAAATCTCATTAATGCAAATTACCCTGGAAGTAATAAGGGTACTTACTGAGAAAAACCATATATCTATAAGGCCCCTCTTTTTCTAAAGGATCTAGGTATAATAAAACACGGGTTTTGGAGCCTCTTGTAGGTGTTAACTTTGCTTTATTCGCGTTACTCTGGTGTAAGAGCCGGGTGGAATTGAGATTCGCACTCCGAGGGTGCCCGCAGGACTTAATTTTCCGCGGTTGCTTTGGGTAGTAACCCAAAGCCTCCTCACTTGCACGCTTTCCCGTGTGCAATTGCTTGATTAGTCTGGGACCGCCTAACCATCCTGCACTGACCGCCGGCCACGAGAGACAGCCTTGTAGGACTGCGGGTGGCTTTCGGCAGAAGCTAAGGTTTCTGCACGGAAACCTGGTGGAAGGAGCTTAATGAATTGCGGCATCCGTGGGTCGCCGCGGCGACCCGTTGCCTGGGACACTAGCGCGGGTTATCTGGAAATCAGGATGGGGACAAGGAGATGGGAACTGAAAAACCGAGGAAATAGACGGACTGGAATTTTCTATTCGGACAGGCAGGTAAGAAAGAGAAAAAGAGAAAGACTCACGTAAGCAATTGTGCAACACTGAACTTGTTGGGAACGCTAATGGGCGAGGGTTAGGGCCACGGATTTCATGTGTAACCTTTATTTGACAAGACGCGCGAGGACTGGTCTTGTCACCTGTCTGCCTCTAGAAAAGTCCTTGGGCATTCGAGATTGATTCGATGACGGTCCCTAGATCTGGTGTAAACTTTATTTACATGCATAACTTGCATGTAAAAGGACTGAAAGTGGCAAAATGTTCCAGTCGAGGGTATCGATTATTTATTTTTGCAAAGCACACGTATACAGAGAGAAAAAGAGGGGCTCTTTTTGAAAGGAGTCAGAATGAGGGTGGGAAAGCAGAAATCAATATACTGAGCATCAAAATAAAATTAGCCAGGCCCGAAATCCATCCTCAGCAAATTTCTTTCATGGTGACCTTTTTCACGCCAGTAACGTGCTTGGCAGTTTTTTTTCTTTTTCCTTAACAATTATTCCTGTTGCTTTCCATTGAACGCTTGCATAGCATTGTAGACTTCGAGGTTTCCTTTTCCTTCCTCGGAGGATAATTCAGGGCTGCGCCTTCAGTGGAATCTATGCCTTCTCATTAAATGTGCACAAGATTTGCTCAGAATAATCTTAGCCTAACTTCATTCTTTCCATGTTGCAATCCAGCCTCTTCTTCCCCCAATTCATTTTTATTTCGGACGGTGTCGTTTTTCCTCAATTCCCGGTTTATTACCTGGAGAGTGTGATCATCTAAGGCTGTAACATCAAATCTGCACTTTCTTGCCTTGAACTGGATCGTGACTTTGACTTCGGTCTAGACAAGCACCGGACTGAGCTTCATTTGGACTGTTGTGAGTTGCGGGCATTGGGCGGAAGGTCTTTCCGACAAGGTACGATTTCATCCCTGAGTGTAATTCCCAGGGCCAGTTTCCTCCAGCCCTTTTGGCATTAATCAAGTCAGAGAGGACGCGTGAGAACTCTGGAGGGTCGTATTCTCCGTTCTTTGCTTCGGTCCTCCGGAGGCTTCCCTGGGAAAACAGCGGCCCTGATGCGCAAAGCAGGCCCTCTCGCTCTGGATGGTTGGCAGGCCTCCCCGCCCTCCTACCGCGGCAGAGAGCTCCTCTTGCCGATCGGGACCCGATCAGCGCCGCGGTCGCGCGAAGTTGCCCCACAACTGAGAGCGGCCTTGGGAAGGTGCGCCGATTAAGGCTTCCGCGGTGGTTGCTTCCCTCCCGCCTCTCCGCTTGCCTGGCGGATAGCAGCCTGAGAAGGCCACGGGCTCCCCCTCCTTCCCGCCGCCGCCCAACCGGCTGCTTCTTACCCATGGCCGGCGAGGAAAGGCGCCCGCCGAAGCTCGCCGGCCGGGCATATCGAGAAGTGAGCCGAGCTCCCGGACCAGCTCAGAGTCGCGGCCGCGCTAAACCCGCGGCCCGCGCTCCAGCGCTCCACAGCGGCTGGCCGGGAAGGGAGCCCCGCGGCCTCGTTACAGCTTGGCTCAGCTTAACGCAACTCGCAAACCGAGCCGGAGGTGCCGTCGATGCGGCCCCGGCCCTTCATTGGCTCCTGCCGGCAGTTCCTGGTCCAGCCGACCTGCAAGGGATGTCCCGGGAGGCGCAGCGGGGCAGGGCTTGGCTGGGTTCCGCCCCGGCGGAGCTCGGAATTCAGCCCCCTCCAGCTCACTCGGTCCCAGAGACCCTGGGCGCCGCAGAGGACGCCCCCGCCCCACCCCCCGGGCTCCCTCCGAGGGAGGGAGGATTCATCCCCCACTCTAGCAGCCCTGTCTTTTTTCCCTGGGTGTCGTTTTCTCTATTCTCCCGGGAAAGAAGCCATTTTCCTTGGGGAGACCCCCAGTGCTGGCATCCTGCAAGGTGGTTGGAATTGTTAGCAGTCACCTGCGGGACAGGTGCAGGAATCTGCCCCCACGCAGAGGGACACAAGAACGAAACGGTTGGAATACGGAGGTGCTTTATTTGTAATGTATCAAAAAAAGTTACTCCCCAAAATTCCTGCCCTTTAGGAATTGCCTTCTTGGAATCCTTGGAATTCCTTTAGAAACTGCCCCCACCTCCCTGGCAGTTCTGCTCCGAAGTTCCTCCGGGCTCTGTTTGATTCCCCGCTTCTTTTCACACAATAGCAGCGGGAGAGGTGATCCGGTGATGAGAGCTGAGCAGTCACTCATACGCGGTGACACCCAGCTTTACTTCTCCTTTTCATCAAATATAGGTGTGGCAGTCAGTGATCTAGTCTTGCCTGACAAGATAATATACCAGGTGAAGTCTAATAAACTGAGACTTGATTAGACAAGTCAGAGATAATGCTTGTGAGTGGTTCATCTGTCTGGCGAAGTGGAGTTCACCCTATTTGGGAAAGGGACACACACACACACACACACACACACACACACACACACACACACGGAAACGCAAACAAAGCTACTTAGTGTGAGTATTGCTGGATAGTTACTGACCCAAATGACCTCATTAATTGTTCTGCCTGAACAAAACAGCTTTCAACCATTTTTTTCACACTCGGGTAACCACCAATCTAGCTATCCCAAATCCTTCAAACCTCGTGGTCTACCCCAGCCGAGAGGAAACCTGAGATATCCTGTCCCAATGGATCAATTGGTGAGTATCTTTGGTTCCTGCGCTATCACAATATCTGGTTTAGGCAGCCTGTTTTTATTAAGTTAGGCTGATATTAAGGAAACATGTAGACCAAGATAAGCCTTGCAACATTCATTCATATTTTAGTAATGACTACTCTGAACTGTTGGAATGTGTGGAGCTGCTGCCTTTGAATATGACCCAGATACTTAACCCTAAAGAGCAGCCAGCCAATAGTTGGGTCTGATTGCCCCACTCCTGGTTGCCCTTTTCTATCAGCACTGGTTCTTAGTCGTGGCCGGGCCCCAAAGCTAAGGGCTTGCATAAATACGAGAAATGAGTAATAATTCCAAGGTCTTCCTACCAAGACTCTGAGATTGTCATTGGTCACGCTTCCTCAGATGCCCCTCCCTTCAAGAAAGCAAGACAGGTGGCATCTGAAGAAAGGGCTGTTTTAGTGATGTCACTTCCTCCGTGGGACTCTCTTCCAAAGGGGCTGGTCCGGATATCCTGTTCATTGGGCTCTTCTTTACAGTAGGTGAAATGTGTTGGGGAAGGAGGAAGAGGGAGAGAGGGAGGGAGAGGTCAATTTAATGTGCCTTTTAACTGATAGCTAATCACCCAACATTTTGGTGTCAGAAAGTATGATCCCACAAAATCCAAATATTATTGTATGAAACTAATTTTTGTTATAGGCCTTAAAATTATTTTTTTACGAGAAAATGCTTTGCTTCAAACCTTGGAATTGTTTTTCTGCCCCTTTTTCTGCCTATAATTCCTACTTTCCACAGAAGGGATGTGTAATGTGCCACCTATTTTGGGGGAGCCCTTTGGTGATTTATTCCCAGGACTCTGGATTGGGGGCGCTGGGATTGAGAGCTTTCCTCTCCTTCGCTTCCTGCACGAGTTGATCTCCCGCGGGCCTTGTGGCAGGTCCTTTTTCATACGCAGATACCTGTTTAGCCAGGAACTGTCTAACCTTCCCTGCACTGATAAACCGGCGACTTTCGGAGGAAGTTAAGGTTTCGCAAAGGAAACCTGTCGGAAGAGACTTAATGAGTTGTGGCAACGAAGGGCCACTGTCGGAGAAAGGATTTCCAGGGACGTTAGCGCGAGTTGTTTGGACATCCGGATTCTCGAACAAGGGGGAACTGAAAACCCCAGGCGTTGCATAGCAAGCATAATTTACGGACATAAAATGACTGAAAACGGCAAAATGGTCCAGGCAGGTTTCCCCACACATAGAGAGGCGTATGCGTCTCTCCCTCTGTGTGTGTGTGTGTGTGGTGGTGGTGGGGTCTTTTTTGTAAGGGCTCAGAATGAGGGTGGCAGAACCGACGTCAATACTCGGTCAGGCCCGAGACCCATCCTCGGCAAATCCCTTCCTTCCAGACTGGGCTTTTGCAGGCCTGCAGCACGTTCGGCTGCTTTTCTTAGCGATAATTTCCATTGGTTCCCATGGGTCTT